GAGGACGTGGTGAGAAGCTGCCCATTTAAAAAACCCAAAATGTTTTAACTCCCCCCTTTAAACCCAAAAAAAAAAAAAAAAAAAAAAAAAAAAAAGCATGGTTAAACATTATCATTTAAGAAAGTTTCTAACAAATGCTGAATATTCTCAAATCCACTTGAGACAAAGTATCTACTGCAACCAGCTTACCCAGAGAGTTCTGGGAAGAAGAGGTGGGTGTTCCCAGTAAGCCATGTTCTTGTTTGGCCAGCATGTTTGAAGGCTGATTTGGCTGGGAAATGGTCCCAGAAAGCAGAGACTGTGACAGCGACTGGGACAGGGAGCTTAGTGGGGAGGTGGAAAGTGATGATGAGGAGTTAAACGAGGACGAACGCGCCAGAGACCCTGGAATGTTGACAGGAGCAGATCCACCAAGCACCCTGTGACCTAAAGGAAAAACGAAGGGTCAGAGAATTAGCAGCCGTTTGAGCCAACAGCCAACAGATTGCTTAAACAGACGCGCCTTACTTGTCAGTCCTAAACCGCCCTCTTGGTCCTCTAGTTCTTTTTCAAGAGAGGCAACATTGATATCACTAAACTTGAGGTCCAGCGCTGACCCTGAAGGGACACAAAATAAATCTGATTAAAAATTTAAAACAAACAAAAAAAAAAAAAGGTACATTTTCTCCTCGTTTTTACCTTTTACGCACACACTTACCAATGACAGACTCCACTGTGTTGCTTCCTGGATAGAATGGAGTAGCTTTTGCATTCATTGTTGATAAGGTGGTGGGTGAAGAGCTGTCCGAGCCAATACTAGAGGCCAAGCTGGATGTTATGCTGGAGGTAAAACTTGATGCCAAAGGGTTCCCCACAGAGAATACAGTGTTTTGTGTCTAAAAGTCGAACAGAGAAAGCACAGCTTTTATTATCATGCTCTTAAAGTAAAACAAAACGTAGAAACCCATGGAGATACAAACCTGCTTGTCTTGGTCCATCAATTTGTGATCCATGTGTCCCTTGCTCTTAATCTACAGATGAACAAGTGACACAAAAGCAACAAACTTCAGCAATATAAGAGGTCATCCACATATCTAGTGTTCACAGAAACGAAAGATGATACAGGGAGAACAGGTTATAAATATATTTTGCCTTACTTCTGACTTCTTTCAATTTGTACCACAAGATAAGATTACAAACATCATTTAAGCAAAATTTCAAATGTACAAATTCTTCAGCTGTCACAGTAAAAATATCACTATTTACAGCTTAAATAAAACTCAAAAATGCTCCATATTAAATTATAAAAAACTTAATCGACACTTTTCTTCTGGTATTCTGAAACCCAGAATGACCAACAAGCTATAGTAGGAGAGATGAAATGGCTTAAAAAATGAAATTAAAATGACAGTGTGACAAAAAAAAAAAAGGCAAAATAAATTCCAGTTGTAAAAATATCCTAAATTGGTAGGGTATTATTCCTTTTCCAGATCTGAACAGAGTGATTCTATGTACCTGATCCTCACGTTCAAAGCCGGGAGCTTTGGGATAGTTAGGCGTCAGGGGGAAGACACTGGATGTGGCGGACTCTGAACATAAACTAGTATTAGTTAGGGGTATTGGCCTGCTGATGGATCCCACTGGGGATAACAAACTGTCGCTTCCTGAGCTTGGTGTTACAGTGGAGTTACTAGAACATGAAACCTGAGAAAGAGAAGCGCACATGACTTCAACAAAATGATGAGCAAAAATAACAAATGAAATAAAAACAGCTTTTTCAGTCAAACTACTCTGAAGAATGAAATGAAAATATGTAAAGATTGAGCAATGAAATGTGAAAATTAAAAAAAAAGAAAAAAAAAAAGGCATGTATGATAAATATGAGATAAACAAAACTAAAGAACCGTAATTCCGCCTGGTAATTTTCCTATCACAGAACTGAAAACTGGAGGAAACATACATGTCCTACTTGTCCGTTGCTACTGGTTGCGTTGGTGCTGGGGTGAGCTCCACTGTTCCACTCAGAGATTGGACACTCAGAAAACTGCTGGGAGCCCAGGTGGGACTGTGAACTTGAATGTATTGCCGACAGCAATGAGTTCATGGTCTCTTCTGTAGAAGGAATTCCTGAAAAGAACCGAAGAACGTCACTAATCTAAACTGTCAGTAAAATAAACTTTCACTCTTTTCACACTTTGGTTGCAGCTTTTGTTTACAGTTGAAAAACACTAGAAGGTGTTGAGTGGAGAATTATTGTGGTTACAAATAGCAACACACATTTAAAAAGCTAGAAAAGGGATACAAATTGTAACTAGAAAAAGCAGAGTGCAACATGTTTCACCTTTGACACATGCATGCAAATTTAGTTTTTGGGGACTACCCCCAAATGTAATATTTAATGTCCTACTTGGAATCATGGCATAAAGTTATTCACAGAAATATATTATGAATAAACTACCTAAGCTCTTTAATTTGCCCAGAATTCAAATTTAGTTCTAACACAATGTTACTATCAGTAGAAGTCAAGTTTATTCGTTTAGCTCTTTTCAGCAACAAGGCAATTTAAAGTGGTTTACATAATAAAAACATAACACAATGCAATGGCAAAATAAAGATAAGTAGTGAAAAGTTGCAATTCACACTAGAATTAATCCAAGTTGCAGTATTTATCAGTCAAAGCTGCTCTAAATAACTCAGTGTTTCAGCAGTTTGTTCCAGATTAGAGGAGCATACAAACTAAATCCTGGATAGATGCACAGTTCTCCTGTAGATCCAAAGCCCTGAGTGTAAATGTTTTTTGTGAGTGGACATTTTTTCCAAACAGCCAAACTTGTGCTTGATGTATGTACGAGAAACATAGCCCCGTAGCCTACTTTCAGCCAGCTGACCGCCAGTGTGCAACAGTTGGAGAAGGAGGAGTACTGAGTTTAGACACTATGAAAAAATTCTGGTCATTCATTGAATCTCACCAAAGGAGATTTAAACCATCAAAATGGTATAAGGAAAACTTGGATGCTCTTTAAATTTAAGGGCAGTAACTGGTCCATGCCTAGTGTCTGGTTTTACAGATTATAAGGTTTGCTAATCCCATTCTAAAATAATAATGGTAATTTTAACTTCCTAACGTTATACTTACTTTCTACATGTGCAAATGCACAAAATGGTCCTCTAGGACAATATCCTGTTTGCCGTTTATCGTTGCATTTGGTGGATTTGTAGATCTGGAACAAAGGGGGAAAAAAAACAATCAAATATTAACAATGCAAAACAAATCCAAACTTGATTAGACGACCTCAATTATGCGTCACAATAAAAACTTGGTTTAAGAACCATTTCTGGCAGAATCTGAACTTACACACTCTTTAGATCTTAAATGTTAGTTTAATGAACTAAATAATTTTCTTTTCACTGATTAAAACAACAACATCTCACTCACCTCTGGGTGAAACTGCTGTTCAGTACGAGAGTGACAATACTGGCAACTGTCTGCACTGTCACACTTTGATGGCTCACCCCACTCATCACCATGTTTCACGTTAGGGCAAGGAGTTGACCTGTATGACCAGAATCACAAACGTTTTAATGCCATTATGGACACACCATAATCTTTTCATCGTTAGTAAACAGCTGCTCACCTGTACTTAAACTTCCGTGGATTTCGCCTCCGATCCCTACTATTGTGGTAATGGGGACACGCGTAGCCCTGTCTGCATAGTCTTGGTGGCTTAGTACACTGATCTGTTTTATAATTGGCTAAAACAAAGTTGGTATCTGCAAAAGGAGAAAAATAAGGTTCAGTCAAGTTTGATCATTTACAACTACAGTGGGCTTTTATTGTAGCCTTTCTCCATGCAAGTGTGTGATACTCACCTTTCCATCGGGGATCTTCAGTCAGAGTTTTCTCAATCATAGCCTGGCTGGCCAGTACACCAGGCTGCAGGTCAGGGATGCCTTCCCCAGATCCCAACTGGCCATTCTGCAGGGCCTCTTGTGCTTGTATCTCTCTGTGAACAAAAATAATAATAATAATAATAATAATAATAATAATTTCACTCTTATAACTTAAAAACAAAATACTACAAATATTCCATATGCTGTGAAAAAACCTGTTGAGAAAAATCTTTTTTTCCCTTCAATTATTATTTGCTTTAACATTTTAATGTTATTCCTTTCCCTCTCAGTTAAAGGTCTGTAAAATGGGTTTTCTTGTTGCACTATGCACATGAGAAAAGGTCATCACTTGCTTTACACGTCACCTGATATCGTAGACCGGAGGTCGGAGATCATGTGGTCCGTGAGCAAAAGCACAGTGGAGGCCATTCTTCACACAATGCCCTCGAGCGTCCGTCTCATGGATACAAGTGCCAGTCTTGTAATATCGTAGATGGTACTTGCGCTCTGTGTCACCAGTGGTGCGGTGTAAATATGGGCAGCTAAGGAAGCAAGCGCACAGAAAATGCTGATATTTAATCAACTAGCTGAAATGAAAACATTTTCATAAGAACAACTTGACTTCAAGTGCAAAGAAAAAAAAAATTGTCTGAAACTTTAGGAAAACATAATTTGTCAAGATAATTAAGTAGAAAGACCAAAACCATTCATTTGTGTACAGGGACTTCATATCTTCATAAATGGAAGAAACTATTCTAGTTGCAGATTTTTATTTTTTTCCACAGATCATGCTTTAAAGCTTAAGGAAATGTGCGACCAGCAAGCCTATTGAATAAACCAATTTTTTTTCTTTCTTGAGCTAGAGTTGCTATAGCAACACACAAGGTCATACAAAAATAGCTTTTAATACAGAGCAGGAACTGTAAGGATTGCAGTGTACTGTATACGTTTCATTAATCTAGAAAACTGATAAACATTCAGTTAATTGATCGGGTGCTCTTAATTAGCTGTCATAGATCAAAGCTGCACTAATTGGTGAGGCACTGTCAGCCCTTTTAAAATTTCCTCTACAGTCATTTTAGCAGGCAATTCTGAAACAATTTCTCTTAAAATAAGAATTTAGCAAATACTTTCCTCTGTTTTAGCAAACAGCAAAATGTGTTTACAAGGAAATGAATGAAGATAAATACACATCTTACTGCAAACGGTATGGTGGGAAAGTAGCACTTTTGAAAATGTGATGTTTTGAGAACAATTTCGTAAGCTTTGCCAGAAAAAAACATAATAAAGGCTCCAATAAATGTTAGAAAATGTCAAGCTGGTCAAATAAAAAGCAAATCAGAAATAGAAATTAATCATGCAACATAAATCTTATCTGCTGTGAAATGTTGTTGAATGTAGAAAAGATATATATATATTTTATAAAAATATTAACTGTATTTTGCTTTAGAGTAATTCAACGTCACTTCACTTCCCTCTCCTAAAAACAGCCACATCTGCTTTGAGGGAGAAGACAGACACCACGGTTTGAATGAGACTCAACGCAACTGGTGGGCAGCTCAGTGCGATAAAGGTGCAAAATAATCAAACTAGTTTGTTTTAGTTGTTAAAATATCATGCCAGATTAAAAAAAATAGTTGAGCTAAACTATTATAATGACTAATTTGCAAAATTATAGAAGTAGAGAAAAATGTTCAAGAAAAGGGAGGTTCCATGAAGGCAGTCTGAAATGACATATTATTTATTGTTTAACTTGTCCGCCATGTCACCTGAAACTTACAAAACAGTTTTGTAGCAGCGTATGTATTGCTCTATTGTGCCTTTTTTGCATTCATTCCCATAGTAAAGGTCTGCTTTCCCCAACAGAGGGTGTGGTCATTTTACAAGGGCTATATACCTGGATCTGGATGAAGCAGACCTTCCTGACTGACTGACAAAAACAGCTTGATGTAGTTAAAGAATTTTTCACTTTTAAACAAATGAATCTTCTTTCAGATCACATTTTCAAATACATATACAACAAAAATTAACAGTGGGCACACTTGCAGTTTTGCGCTGGGGTTTTGACAGTTTTTCCTATTACTTAAAGTGAATGGAAAACCCTTTTTGTCATTGTAAATAACATACACAATAAACTATTTGGAAGACAGAGAATATTCTGTTTTTTTTTCCATTCCTATTTTCAATATAACACAAGCTTATTGCTAAAATTTTGTTCAGACCAAAAACATTAAAATGACCATCATTAACGTATCAATGCATTTTTCTAAAAATGTTTATTAAATATCATTTGCCAAATTTTCCATTACAAAATGTTAAACTGTTTCTGAAATTGAGTATTTTAATGACTTCACCATGACATTTTACAGATTTCAATATTTATAAATGTAGGGACATTCATAACCCCAGAATTTCATCTTTTAACAAGTCGCATGCATGACATAACATTATGCAGTTTTAATAACACTCTTTCAAAAAAGATTGTTTTAATATCAACCTGTATTGGTAACTTGCAAAAGTTCACTCTTTGAAGCTTTAAACAGAATCTATGGCCACTAAAGCAAAATAAACAGCCGACTTACAAATAAAACGTATTTAGGACGTGGTCAAAAGGACTCCTATTACCACATATGAAACGGACACTCCCACCTCTGTGCAACTTGGTGTTTATTGTAATGGAGACTTACTCATCTCCATCTGGGCAGATGCCTGTGGTCTCATCGTATTTCGTGCAGTACACGTCGGGACTGTAGTTAAAAGTCCCGTCTCTTCTCCTGATGGGTCGCCTTCGTCGCTGGTTTAGGAAATGCCAGTGAAAGCAAGTAAAGGGTCTGTGCTGCGTACACTTGTGCTGGAGGAACAACGGGCACTGCTCCGTCCTGAACTCCTTCAAGTATCTGCGACAGCGAGAGGAACAAACCAAAGTAGTCTCGTTAGCCGAGCTTAAGAACGGCTTTCCAGCCACCACCGAGTGGACGAAAGCAAAAGGGAAAAACACAGTGATGCGTCGTGTTTGGTTGGTCGTGCTGTAGCTTACTACTACGGAGTATTTTGGGTCGCTAACGTTGGCTTCGTTATTCTGAGCGCTAGCTACGCATTGTTTTTCACGTACCACTTGTTCACAACATCTGAGCGTACGTCTATAACTGTGCGTAGAAAGAAGGAACTTAAAATAAGGCCGAGCTATTTACAAGCAGAATGGTTAGCGAGTTCTTGGCTAATCATTTAGCAAGCCGAGAAGTCTGAATAATGCTTAATACATAATTCAAAACTTGATTCAAAAAGGTTAATCATCCAACAACGGTCTATTCGGCAGCAAAGCAAATGAATACGTCCGTCTTCCCTGTCTTGGCGCTGGTGTTGTTAGCAGTCGTTGTTTGCCATGTAACGTAAGGCAGTCACAAAGCCAGGAAAAGCACCATGTTTTTAACGCACATACGAGAGTTGAGGAATGCCAGACGTGCAAACGCGTAAAGGTGCATGCGCAGCTGGCATTTTTTACAACAATTATTTTCCCTAATACTTCGCAGCAGCGTTACTCACGTATAGTGGGTAGGTTTCTCGGTTTGAGGAGACGCATTGGCCGCCGTTTTCGAAACCGACGGCATTTTCAGTCAAAACAATGAAGTGCGCATGCGCTCGGATCTGTTGCTCGTCTGCAGACACGTCCGCCTGCACGACAACACTGCGAACGACCATACGGACGTAAGGAAGCGCAGAAAAACATTAGAAAGCTACGTCTTATTGCTACCGAATAGAGTGAAGATTAATTTTTTTTTCTTTGAGTGGAGATATTTAGAAAGCGTATTTATTTATAGATCAATAAATAAATAGAGGTTACAAATTGCTTAAAGTTGCCTAAGTTGTTTAAATCACATGACCTGATTCATGTGTGAGTTGTTACTTTTCAGTTTATCACGTGACATTTTCCTTTTGGACTCAAAAGTATTTTACCGCCTCATTTGAAAACAATAATTAATATAAAGTTATTTGTGAATGCCTTAATGGTGTTATGGTGCATATTAAATATAGCGGGCGCTCTTGTTTGTCAGCTAAAGGATGAAAGACAGCAAAGATAAAACCAAATCCTGCCAGGACGGCTGAACTTTATTTCTGGTTCATCTGACTTGATGACAGACTGTCAATGCCAGTGAATACTAAACTTAAATTAAATTAAAAGGTGCATCAATAAACTGCACATTTATGCAACCAGATTATTGCAGATTTCTATATTTTGTGATTTTTCTGTCAAATGTTTATTTTTTTTAATTGGCACTTGCAGAATTTGTATGTCACAGCATATGTGGAAAATGTCAATTTTTTTTTGTATCATGAACACCTGGTATTTTACCATAAGTGTATAAAAAACTATGATTAAGTCTGATGATTGGTCTTCTTCCACTTCAAAAACATCCATGTCTTTCTTCGAGTAAACAATTTTGTTTTTGCATTTCTTTAACCTGCTATTTACTGAAAAAATCCATCTGAAGCTTCAGATTCTTTACCTCCTCTAAACATCCAATTTCTGTTTTCCTTCTGAATCTGGAAGGCCAATCTGTTCAACACTTATTCTTCTGAGTGGTTTAAATATACAAATGCAATTATGTGACGGATCTATTATTCAGTTGTTGAAGTCCACCGGGTTCACATTCTTGTAATCATGCATAAGCCCTGGCTTACCCTGTCGTAATTGCTTTGACAAACCCCACCCAAGCTCAGTTTACCGTTTGACAATGTCCAGCACCTTTTCACACTCCACACAAACATTTAAAGGTGAACCTTCATACATAAAACAATGTTAAGGCGTATAATTGAAGCAGCTCTATAGAGAATATTCTGTTATCTTAAAAATACTTAAAAGACACAATCTGCTTTAAGCCCTGAGAGACTGAAACACAAACTAAGAGGTTTGGTTCATTTTGCTTTGCTACAGCATCATGCAGAAGGAAAAATGTCTCACACTCTGTTTTTTCTTCCTGTGACGTCAGCCGCCACAAACCCTTAACCTTGCTCAGTAGTCTCAGCTGTTCATAGAGTCCACATTCAAGCTCTTCTCACAGCCTGTCAGATGAGCGTGTTTTCATGTGTGCAGATGTGTGTGTATGGCAAAGGTGATGGTTTGCTTCTCCTCAAACTCTGAACACGTGACCACAGAGGATCCTGTTCATATCAATAACCTTGACAGCCTGCTTTGCATTATTAGTTGAATGACTTCCTGTAGCCAGACCCCCAGTGGAGCTTATAAATTATTGCACACCCTTTAAACGTGATTACATTCCAGCTACACCAATCCATCCTTAAAAATGTACATAAATTAAAACAGAAAATTTTACAACCTAATTAAGGCAGTAAAACTGTTGTGTGTTAGAAAGATTTATGCAATTATAAAAGAAAAAAAAATCATCCTTAGTAAGATGCACTGCAGTGAGTTTTGCCATTTTCAATCACTGAAAGAATCCTAAACATGGCGTTCCCAGGACACTTACAGCTGGAATAACAGCTTGTGGGTTGGTCTACAGTTTTTTTCCCAGTCAGAGAAAAAAATAGAAACAATAAAGTGTTTTTCTATCCTTACTGCACGACACACTAACTACTTTTAAATTGTAGAAATCAGAAAAAAGAACTAAAAATAATCTACTAACCTTAACAGATACAAATATTGTTGGGTTTTTTTTTTTAGATTTTGCATCAGCTTCAACCTCAGAGTTGGTTGGTGTGCAGATTTAAGTGTTTGCTGCCAGTACGCAAATTTTTCTGCAGACAACATTTGATTATTTTCAATAAACGATAGGAGGATTGGAGCAATACAGAACTGCACAACTAACCCAACAATTTTATGTCTTTCCAAGCTGTTTTATTTTTTTGGTAAGAAGAAAAAAAAGTAGATTCAGATCATAAATAGACATAACATGGAACTATGCAAATAAATTATGAAACAGTGCTAATGAAAAACCTAATGAATGCCGATTTGTGTTTTTAAAATGCATTATTATTTTGCTAAGCAGCTATGTTTGAACACTGACAAATATGTTTTTTTCAGTCTTTATTTCTCCATGCCAAACAACACCTGCCTCTTCTCACCACCCTCAACCTAACAAGATCTGACAAAACAGATCAACAGCCAGCTTTTATTCACTTGCAATAATATTATAATTTTTTACAATATGTTCAAACATTTTTTTTTAATTTAAGATCACAGAACAAGAAAACAATATGGTCAAAATTTATTAAGTGCATCAAGGGTTACGTCATCTCAAAACTTGACAGTGATTAAAATTTTCTATAAATAGTAATAAAACAAAGGTGATAACCCACACAGCATACGAAACATTGTGTTTTTAAGGTGTTTAGGCCGATATTTCTGGAAAAGTGGGAACAGATCAGGGATGTGAATGTTTATTTGGAATCGTCTAGGCAAAGTTTGACTATATGATGATATTCTGTTCAACAAAACAGAATTAGAATATTGTGTAAAACAGACGCATAGACAATACAGATTTTTCTGCGTTTGTAAGGCCGCATACTCATGTGGATGGTACACATGTGTAAGCTTCTTGCTAAAGGCCATTTTTACTTTATATACTGGAAGGGACATGTGATTTTGGTAATTGAAATGACCCTTCCAGCTCCAGTAGCTCACATAGATAACGTGATTAGATTCAGTGTGATGGAACATTTCCTCATTGAGATGGCCTTTGCTAGGAAGGAGCCTCTGATTTCCTACAGGTGATGATAAGAGAAATGTTCAGGGAGGTTTGTATGTTGGATAGCAACAAACAACGCCTTATTTTTACTTATCCGGTGCAAAAGCTTTCCTCTTTGTTGTTAGAATCAGTTCCCTTTGTCTTTGCCACAGCAAATGCTTGAAAGGAAAACATCTTTAAGTCAAAAAGAAACACTTCAACACACTCATAACTTATCTTCTTAAGAATACACACATAAACTTGTCTTTTTATCCCTACTTGAGAGGGGGGGTTTTTTGTTCATAAAGCGAGCAAATTATCTAAGGCGCAACCGGATGAAGCTGAGTAACTCTAAAAGAGAATAACTATCTGACTTGAATGTGAAAAACCTTATGGAGTAAGTTTTGAAAAACAACTTTTCTAGTTATTTCAGTCACACCTCTGAAACTTTGTCCCTGACAGAGAGGTGTAAATCAAGGCTGTGGTGACAAAAGCGATTCACTACTGACCAGCTGGCCTTCTGCTTGACAAAGAGACGCAACTTGTCCCTGAAGGTTTCTCCGAGAAAGCTGTAGATAATGGGGTTGAGGCAGCTGTTGGAGAATGCCGCCAGGTTAACAATGTGACCTGTGAGCGGGTAGTCGTGCCACAGGGTGGTAGCAGTCCTCTTCGACGGGTTGGCTGTGCCTTGCAGCAGCTGGATGCTAATGAAGACGTTCTCTGGTAGCCAGCAGATGAAGAACACCAGGACCACCACCACGATCATCCGCAGGGCTTTCTGCCGCCGGGGCCACAACCCGCGGTGCTTCTGGGCTCTCATGAGGATTCGAACAATTAGGGAGTAGCATAAACCGATAATGGAGAAGGGGACCAAAAAGCCAATGGTCACCTCCAGCCACTGGATCTCAAAGACATTGGCGAAGCAAAAATGCACCTCACCCCTGTGTTGGGTTTGTACTATGGTGAAAGGTAGGAGGGTGGCAAAGATGGAGGCCATCCAGATGAGACCACAGCTCAACTTGGCGTGCTGCATAGTTCTCAATGGGCAGCTGCTCATGGAGCTGGCCAAGGCGATGTATCTGTCAAAGCTCATCCAAGTTAGGAAGAAGATACTGCTGTACATGTTGATCTGGAGGAAGAGGGACATGAAGGTGCAGAGGACGGCGTAGTCGTAGTATTTTTCATTGAGGTTAAAAACCTCAATGAGGGAATCTGCCACCAGGATGAGGTCAGCCACAGCCAAATTCACAAAGTAGAGATCAGGAATGGTCATCTTCTCTCTGTGGGTCAGGTTTACCACCAAAATCAGGATGTTCCCAATAAATCCAATTGGAAAGAGAAGGATAGTGTACAGGCAGGATAAGAAGAGGCCAATCATGTAAAACTGGTATTTTTCATAGTTTTCACTTGTCGTGCTGTTTCTGAATGAAGTGTTCAGTTCCTCCGTAGTGTTAGTATATATCCAAATCAAAGCAGATGACCTCCCTTCCATACTGATTGTGGTCAGCCTGTTTTAAATCAAAAGCCACGTGTAAGTCACATCCAGCAGCTACATCATGACACCATACCAGTTCACAGTTTTCTCTCTTTGAAGGGAAAGTCATCTATGCTGTGTTGACATGCTGACAGAAGTCAAGCTAGTAAAACATTTATGGGATATTTGACCCCATATTGACATCAAGTTTCATCTGCCAGTAAGTTTATGATGAAAAACAGAAGGACTTCCATGTCTTGAAATCAACTTTGACCTTTGCCTCGGACGAGGCGCATCGTTCCAATTGTTGAACGTGGGATCGGGAGACTAAGAAGGGTTTTTTTTTCTCCTCTTTTGAGTCATCTGATTGGAGTGCTGCTTTGTTCCGTGGATCTTTATTCAGTGAGAAAAGCCTTCAGATGCTTCTGCTGTAACGGCTAAGCTGTGGAAACAATACCGGGGAAGTAATTAGAGAACAAAACATTTGAAAATCAGCAATCA